TACAACCTTCACTCTCGATTACCTGCACGTTACCAACATAGGGGTAACATTCAAACAGAAGGGGTGAGATATCTAATAATATAATAAAGTGCATGATAATTAATATATTAAATTAAATCAACAACGTCACCACTTCTCATCTCATAATCAACAACAATCTCAACAATAATATACATTCATCCACATTAAAATACACTTCTTTATGAAATCATATAATGCGACTCAATACTATGCAAATGCATGTGGTACCATTGGAGCAGAACTCCCATCTCAAAAATTTGCCAATTAATAGAGGCATCAACAAGGCATAGCCTTCATCTCAAAATTTGCCAATCCAGGCCATCTCAACGAGCATAAGCTCCATCTCAAAAATGCAATGTATGCTACACAACCATGAATGTAATGATAACACCCAAGTTAACAACGTCTCAAATCATCTCAAAACATCTCAAATTATCATCTCAAAACATCTCAAATTATCATCTCAAAATAACATCTCAAAATAACATCTCAAATAACATCTCAAATAATCAAAATAATTCCTCAAAATTCATTTATTTATAAATCATCAAACATCATTTATTTATTAATAACTTCTCATTAATAACTCAGTAGTATTTAATTCCCACAGTAAATCAACACTGTCATTCTGCAACTCTAACGTTAAGACCGACACTATCCTATTGTTATAGCTCAACAACAGCTTCTAAGCATCTAACGTTCATCGCTCTGCACAAAATAACACAAAGGCCATCCAACTTCTGACCACGCAACCTCTAACCAACACTATTTCTAAATACATAACTTCTAATGATGCAACCTTTGGGAGACACAATCTTCTGACTACTATAACTTCTAACTAATGCAACTATTGACTAACTCAACCTCTGATCAGATGCAACTTCTGATCATAGCATCTTCTGACTAGCCCCATCTTCTGACCAGGTACAACTCCTTATCTTCACATCTTCTAACTAATGCCATCTTCTGACCAAAGACAACTTCTGATCATTACATCTTCTGACTAATGCCATCTTCTGACCAAATACAACTTCTGATCAGCCACATCTTCTGGCTAGTACAACTTCTGACCAGCCACATCTTCTGGCTAGTACCACTTCTACTACCAGAACCTCTATTCTTTAATAATGCAACGCAATTTCAAACTAACATATATATAACGTCAGAACTTCTATCTTGCACTAATCTGACGCAACTTCTATCAGCATCCTTCTAACGTCAGAACTGCTACATTTCCTTAATGTTATTATTTTAATTACTTTTCCTATTATCACCCTAATCAGGAACAATACGGCTAATGCTATCCCCTAATTAATTCATCGTTCTAACACAGCAGCACCTGGTATCATTCTAGCATAATTCTGCGTTTTCATTACTGCTATATTCAACATTTTCCATCATTGCATCTCGCTACGGTTCCTTAACAAAAGCCCTATAACTTAATATAATCCTGCCAATTAATCACCCATAATTACCTTATAATCTTACAACATTTTAACAGCATCAAGGCATCAATATTCATCAAAATTCATCAATCCTCATCATACATCAATCATATATTCTCAATTCAAGAACAAGACAACAATCACCTCTAATCCCACATATCAATTATCATAACCCAATTATAGAGTTAGAACCCCACCCTTACCTTGGATTGAAGGTCACTCTACAATTCTGGTTGGATTCTCGTGCTTGCCGTATTCCACTTTCTCTAGGTAAGGCCGAAAGCCCTGCTTTTTCCAGCATGACAGCAAGCACGGACTGGCGGAGTCAACTGAATGACCAAAGCTTCGGTTGCTTCCACTTGTGGCCTTCTTCGACCGCCTTGACACCTTAATCTCAGGGAACCCCCTCTCCTCTCTTCTTCTCTTCATGTATGTATGTGGGCTGCCTGCCCCGTCCCGAATAGACGAACAGGAACAAGCTGAAGAAAGGCGCGAGAGAGAGTTTATACTTAATGCACCTCCCCTCTTCCACAATTAGGTGAAGACCTGGGGGCCGGAAACCCCAACGGGAAACCTTTAACCGCGCCACACGATTCTTTCGCGAAGCGCTCTCTCATACACACTCCTGCCTCCGCAAGCAAAGAGGTTTCAAAGATACCAGGCGACCAAGTTAAAGTGAACAGCCCCGAGCAAATCTTCTAGAGAGCGTACCCGTTGTAGCCAAACAAAAAAAAAGAAATGAACACCCGCCTGCATAACCTTTCTCCGTTCTGTATAAATGGATTGCGAGTTGAAACTTTGCTTGCCCACGAACAGTACTGGCTCGTCAGCAACTTAGATAGACGAATCTTCTCTTATCCAGCGCCTTCCCACTAATCCATAGAAGAGTCCTGCTTGGAGTGAGAACTGCTTGACGGGTGCGCAACTTACTATTCATATTACATAGATCCTAGCCTTGAACACTGATCCCTATTGCTTGAAGTTCGGTCCCTACTGCCGAGATACGGAAACTCGTTGATGCACTTCCTGCCTATGGAACTACGGGAATTACAGATTAACTCCTCCCGCCTGGACTGCTTAACTTGATTATATTCACTACTCCGCATCAAGAAAGTCTTAAAGACTTCCGGCACAACGCAGGAATAGGAAGACTTCTTTCTACCTAGACCGCGTTCAACCAATTACTTTACTTGATTCCTTATTGGTAGAGGTGTTGACTCTGTGTACATAATTACATTATACCTTGGTTTCTTAGACTGTGGCTTCTCCTTGATTCGGATGGAGCCTTAAATCCCGGTGAGCAGAAGAAGGATTCCATCACCACCCTGCACCCAAAACCAGTACATCAAACTACCCACGGCTAACAACAACCCCGTTCGAAAAGACCTTTTAACTTACAACAACTTCGATTCTTTCTTTTCTTTATAACTTCGCTTTCTCCTGAACCTGCGGGTGGTGCTGACTTGATCCGAGGTAAGCGTTAGCTTTAGCTTTCGACTTGACCTTCCGTCTAACACTCGGGATATTAGAAGAGAAGTGTCGTGGCTCACAACCTTGACTTTGTTTGAGTAGAATTCTTCTAACCCGAATTCCCTTATAGTCTCCGGACGGGATTACTTTTGCTTTGCTTCCTTAGGATATCATTCCTTTACCCCGGACCTATGATTTGAACTCGAGTACAAAAGAAAAGCCTATTGAAATTTATCATTTCGTTCCAGGATCCGCAGTAGTTGTTGCTTGCTTCCTGAGCCTATACCTGGTGAACTCCCTGGGGCTGATAAGAAAGCTTAGAATTCGATAAAAACATGTCCTTCGAGGGCACAAATAACTAAAGTACTGGCTCGCGAACTGCCATAATTCGGGTTTCCCTAGTGGATTCACCAGTCTTGCGGACTCCCTTCAGCTTACTTACGATCGAAATCACTATTTTGCTTTTTGAGCTATACGAAAGAACTAGATCACGATCTCGCGGGACTAATCTCTTGAAAACTTAAAGAAAGGGAAAGCCAATCGTACGTCCTGGTTTCCGGGACTTTATTCCCACAGGTTATTATATACAATTTATGAAAGAGAGGAGAAGCCCCACTCGGGGAGATGAGTCAAAGCTTTCTCTTATATACGATACCTACCAAAGAGAAGAGATCGCATTCTGACAGGGAGCACACGAAGCAAAGGAAAGACTGGCCTGCGTAGTCTTAGATAGAGGTATTACCAGGCACACCTCTCCTAGTGTTCTTGTTGCCTTCAACCCAGAAGGGAATGAGCAGCTAGCTAACTCGAACTAACCATCATTTGGATCCTCAAAAGCATGGCTTGCTTTAATTCTCCGCAGAGAAAGAAAGAGATCAAAAGCAATGAAACCTACGATGTATCCTCAATCTTCCTTGGTAACGGATTAAAATTCACATCGGGTTCTCCTGTCAACTTTGCGAAGTCAAGCTCATAGACTCTCCTTTAGCCTGTATGTAGGCTGATCTCCATATGGATGCGCGAGTGAAGGAATGACGGGACTCCTCCTCTTTCCCAGGGACTTTCTTCCTCTATCAAAAGGGGATAAAGAAGACATGGGCTACCGCTAAACCTTTCCTCAACTTCAACTGTTTGAAACGCTCCGGCACCTCCAATGCGAGAAGTGCGCTATTTCCCCAATCCAAATTGTCAAAACTCACGTCATCGTAATAAGAATAGTTGCTTGGTACCTTTTTTCTTCAGTCAAATCCGAAGCAGCTCTTCCGGAGCTGCTACTGAAAGAAGAAATCTGCCCTCGTCCTTTAACCCGGACTCCTTTCTTCCTCTAGAAGTACCAAGGGATCCAGACTAGGAGCAATCCCTGATTGTCAAATTTCATATCGAAAGATCAGGTTAGGGATCATCATCTGGTCTATCGCTCCTTTTGAGAGTTACATAAGCCTTTCCCCTGCAGTGAAGTTTCTTCCCGACCCTTATTCCACTATCTCATCCTTGCCAATCTTTCGAATGTTCACGCGTACCCGGGCTGATAGAAAAGGAAAATCTTCCATTAGGAGCTGTTGGTCTTATAGAAGTAACCGGTGTTTTTAGCCGTAACCCCTGTTACCACGTAGGAAGGAGTTCTTAAAGAAGGCCGCTAAATCAGCAATAGAGGACAACTCCAGATCTATGAATAGCCAACTAAGAGCCTAGCTTGATTACTGGAACTAAACAGCAAGCTGCTCCTACCTTACTTCTCGAAAAGGAGTACCGGGACTGAGTAGACTTCTTGTAGTTATATTTTCCCTATAGAACTACATTAATGTATTGGGTATTTTTATAACCTTGCCAAGAGTGCTTTGAGCTTTTCTTTCTTAAACCCGGTCATATCCTCACCCTTCGGTCGAATCCAGCTTATAACATGGCTAGAATGTTAGACCGATGTCTTAGGGTCATTCTCAGTATCCATACGGAATCGGAACCTATGCCTTCTAGCTGCCCTACGGATGAGCCCAAAAGAATATAATTATAATCTGGAAGTGACTTCGATAATACCTTTCCAAGACTCACTCGCTTCTTGAAGCCATGCTCTTACTAAACCTAAACCACAAAGACGAGATAATCTCTATCTTATCCTTCCTGGGAGGAGACATAGTCAAATCAATTGACAACAAAAGGAGTCACTCGTGGCACACTGACTATATTCCAACTTCTCTGGATCAATGCACTCACTACCTTCTAGCAAAGGTAAGATATTACTTATTCGATAGAGTAAGGAAAGCAAGTCAAGCAGTCTTTTCAAGAAGAAAGTAACACCGCTACCACTATTCTAACAGCTACCGATTCTCATCCGAGGAGAACGGAACGACCTTTAGAGTAGACCTAAATGCTGCGGTTACGCCTCCAACAGATGAAATCGCACCGTCGTCTTCCCAGCGTAGAGCAAAGCAAACAAGTCAGCCTGAGTTCCATAAGTATCTTTAGTAGCAAAAAGGCTAATCGGTAATAAGCCTTCAGTCGACCATCGGGAGATACGCCTCCAGGCCAAACAGATAAGGGAAGCGAGAACATGATCTTCTTCCTACGCCCTGACTTTTTTGAATGGAAGAAGGGGTGGGCAGACAGAACGGTCATACTTAGATGAGTTATTAACCCGCACCCGGTTCTAGAACCAGATCTCCTGGATTAGCCAGTACCACGGGAAGGGACAAGAACGGACACAGACCTTCACGCACGGGCCAAGTCACAAAAAGAAGAAAGAGCCTCGACAAGAGGCAAAGCCAAAGAAAGAGGTTTTTATTCCTAACAGGCCAATAGAACAGGCGCCGAAAGCAACTGGAGTTGAAAGAAGGGGCAATAGCCTTGATTATCTATTCTATCCCGCAAGGCCGAGATTAGTGATTCTCGTCGCTAAGCGAAGACTCTATCATAATCATAACAGAGTAGCGTACCAAACCAAAGGGCAGTCCCTTCGGATCAAAGGAAGGGGTCAGACTAGCAACGGACGAAGCGGGTGAAGAGCTTAGGTATAGAAAGGGGAAAAGAGGCGGCTAGGAGCCGAATGGCCACTTGACTATCTACTACTAGAATAGAATAATGAGTGTGATAGCGCCAGAAGAGAAGCTATCAGCAACTGTCACACCTGAATGAGCTGATCGGGTAAGCACAGAGAAAGCTTGCATTGAAAAGAAAGGGGAATCCATCAAGGTTTTTGGCTCGCAATAAAGCTAGGGTGGGAAATGAAGAATCATGGAATTCAAAATAAGGAGATGAGAAGCACTTTTTTTGCATCAAAGACTCTTTAACCAGCCATTGCTGTTAACCCTGCCATTCCTACCTATTAGGCGCACTTCCTCCATTCATATTAGGATCACGGATCCATACATACCCCGTTTTTCATTCTAGATTATTCTAATTATATATATAAGGTATCGCTCGGGCTTCTAGCCCATCGCTCAAGTAGAAGACCAAGCACTCCTACTCGTACGAGAGGTTGAATTGATGACCGGTAACGATCAAGTTGGTATGCCTGTTATTTCCGTAGTATAAAAGTGCTCACACCCTAGCCGGTATTCTCTTCTAGACGTAGGTCCGCTCCTCGTTCACCACAAACATGTCGAAATTCCACAATCGGGGGAATGAATCAGCGCTTCCCGATACGGCATGCAGCTAGCTGGCTGAACCGATATATCTTACTAAGATATTTAAACCGTCGATTCAGGTGGAGAGAGAGTGGAATCCTTGGCTGGTATTTGATCGCTAGTTGGTTCGGATAAATAGATTGCTTTGGTTCGGCTTGGAACCTCGACGTGCTACCTACTAATGGTCTCGAATAAAGGTTCTTAGCTGCCGTTGCTTGGGCGCTAGGGATTGGTCCTGATGGCAAGGATTCACTTGATTGCTTTGAGCTCCCTGGGAATGGAAATGCAGATGCAGAGGCTGCCTCCCAAGCATTTTATCCTGGAACAGAAGACATTAGATCCAGCTTTGGGCTCAGTACCTCCATTAGGTCACTGACTCCCATTTCCGTTGATTGGACAACCGGCCTTAACGACGCTCCCTTAGCTTCTCTCGTTGGGAAGCATTTGAGGGCTGGAGCTTTCATTTGGGTGACCAGTAGATAGATACTGGGGTTCTCCCCTCCTTTCTTTGCCAGGAGAGAGGAAAGACTTGGATTGGGATCCTGGTGTTGCTATCGGGTCATATGGAGAATGATGGTGATTCCATGCTTTCGGGCTAGGCATTGGAATGGGATCGGGCGGGCCCGGTGAAAGAGATGGAATGGGAAATGGAGATGTTGAAGAGGCGGGTTGATTAGTTCTGGTTGGAGGGCTACGAACTCCTTCTCATTGTTCCGCTCCTCTTCTCTTCTTTAATGGTTGACCAGGCACTGAAGGTCGATCATCTGTGTTCACCTGGTATGGATATAATTGAAGAGTGGAGGTGAAGGGCTCCTGTCATCCGGCAATGCAAGACCCACTCCAGATCGATGCCTCTTGGTCAGACCATTTCCGTATACTGAGATTGACGACATAGCGAGAACACCGAGATCATTCCGTAAGAGGTTATTGCAGTGCTTATTGAATTGTCAACAATCCTCTCTTCACATCTTCTAGAAAGAATTATTAGGGCTTTGGAGAGTGAATAGCTATTCTTTTTCTCACATCTCGATTTCTGCCTTCTTTGGGAAGATAAGAGACTTTGCTGCTCTCCCACCTTCAACTAAGGTAGTCGCTTAGCTAACTAAAAAAGCATCCTCTAACGAGCACACCACTGTTTATTTAGATACCCTCAAAGCAAAGGTGAGGAATAGGGCTAGCTAACAAGTAAACGAGAGACGTAAGTGAACAAAGTTGGCATCTTCGAGCTAAGCAAGCAAATAAACTACTTATCTTTGTTGCGAAGTGAGCCAGGTAAGCAAGGAAGTAATAGAAAGACTCTCAAGTGTTCTCATATTCTCCTATTTGACTCCCACTTGGGATTCACAAATAAAGGATAGATAAAGGAAACTTCAAGGGGCTTCTAATCTATTCTTTCTTGCCCCCCATTCCCTTAAGTGGGATATACCCTGTACAAGCTCGGAATTTGAACTGAAAGGGATTGCTCCTGAGACAATTGTCATTGCCTTTTGATTTGGCACAAACACATTGGTCCAGCAGTTACTTTGTTCCACGGCTGAAGCGTTCGGTTCATTAGATACTGAGACTTTTTTCCTTATAATTCTAAGTGGAATTAAATTTCCAGCTATCCTTCCATCCGCCCCTTATCAAGCTACAAGCCAGAACAAAAAAAACCGGTCCTCATATGGATGAGGAAGTCGAAAGACTGAGAACCTTTCGTAACAACTTCCCTTCCCGAAGAATAGAATCTCAATCTCTCTGAAGCCCGCTTGACTGCCCGGCCTTCCCCAAGGATACTTCCTTGAACAGCCTCACCTCCCATCACAGAGCAGGCTTCGAAATCTTCCATATGTCTCTTGGAACACCACAGCTATCCAGGAACGAATGATAGAAGGGAATGTCAGGTAGGCTTGCGAAGTTATGAGAAAGATATTTATCCTCCTAGAGGGGGAAACATTGACTTACATGAGGAAGTGAGGGGACTCATATACGGATTAACAACTCATGCATTCCTGCTCAAGGAAGGGAACCATTTCCATCTATATATGTATTTGCAATGGAAGGAGAAGGGGGTTGCTAAGGTCCATTCCCGCTGTCATTCCTCTGTCGGGTATAGAGGTTCAGTTAAAGCTTCGGGTGGGAAAGAGATTTGCTCGTTGTCGTGTATCCCATTGCTCTTATTACAGTGGTTGACAGTGGCTTATGTAAGTGTTGCCCCTGGGCTCCGGTGAGAGCCTTAATTTAATGGTTTTTCATCACCCTCTTCAAGACAGGTGCCACATTCATGGAGGACGACACATTAGGGGATAAGCACGGAGGAATCTAAAAATGTGAGTAGGAGATTCTAGTTCACAGCAAGATGCGGGCACTCCCGTTAGTCCCATAGCAAGCAAGAAGCGGTCAGGATGCAGAGACAGAGAGTCAGGGAAGTTCCTCCTATCTATAGGTAGGAGCGTAACGTCTAATAGTTTCCTGTAGTTGCTCTAGACTCCTCTCTTTCTCCTATCTATCAGACTATCTTCTTTTTTGTATTATTTTATTGTCTTATCTTGTGACATAGTCTTGTCTCTAGGTGAATATCACTATGGGAATGCGTTAGGATCCCTTCTCTGTCTCCCTCTCTTTATTTCCTTTCTAGTAGCAAACTTTATTCTGTGGCTTTCCTTCCGTTCCGCGAGAGTAGGGCACCAAAAGCTGTCCTATCATTTATTGGAGTGGAAGGCCTTCCCATCCTCATTCCGAAACAAAGAGAGTAAGGCCACTTGTGACCTATCTTCTTGGTCTAACCCCTACTTTAAGAGGAAAGCACAAATCCCCTTTTTTTTCGTTTAGCCGATATCTCTTGAAGTATTTGTTTTGAAAAGCCTGCGGTAAGCCACTCTTCCTTATTTTGCTGCCTAGTTTCAAGCTTCTTAGATCTACCTCGCTTCATTCCCTGTCGGAATGGTGACTGGGAAGGGAAGCACAACAATAACGCCTTTTTCCTTTTTTCTCCCGATTAGACGAAAGACATGTTGGGGCTGTATCCGAAACATTTTTGAACTGCCGGCCCGACAACCAAGCCTATAACCGGCAATCAGAGGTCAAGTTGAGACATACAAAGGCGCCAGTGAAGAGCTTAAAATCAGTACAAGGGCTGCTATTGAAGGGATGAAATCTCCCAATCAAGGACTGCTTAGGTCCCTTCTAGTCCGTCCTGTATTTTAGTATGATCGACGGACGTATTGTATTTTACCTATACGGGCATATGTTCGACTTCCTGATCAAGGGCATCCGTCCACAAATTCTTTTATGTAAATATAGATATTCCCGACTTTTCATACCATGGGAAATCCACTCGGACGAAGACATAGATGATAGGATTATTTGAGAGAAGAGCCGTGCCCTACCTATTCTACAAAACCTTATCCTAGTTTTTACTTTATTTTTTTATATATAAGCATTCATCAACGGATTCTGCTTCCACTGCCTTAGTGCTAATTACAAACTAATTATCCTCATCCCAAAACCCCTTACAAAGAAAGGTAGGCGTGCAATAAGAGAAAGCTTACCTTGCCCCGAGAGAGACCATAGGATAAAGTCAGCGTGCAAGAGCTAGAGAATCCCGGGGTATAGTGAGAGACCTGGTGCAAGCTTTTAGAGTATGGCTATCAGTCCCAAGTTTAAGCTAATCACTCGTAAGGTTATGTAGTCCGCCTATAGCCCAGCCTTTAAGCATCAACAGAAGATCCTGCGAGATAGTCGTTCTCTGTATCCAAATGCTAGAGTAGGAGAGGAGTAAGCTAACCTTATCCAACCTTTGTATCCGTAAATCCCTATATAGCCTACCAGCGTTGTACCCTTTTGCGAGCAAGTCAGCCTCTATTTATTAAACCCTTTCTAGAGTCACCAGCTAATCCTAAAATCCCTGGTGCGTAAGCAAGCTACCCTTTAGTAGTCAGCAACCCTCCTAAGCCTTGTTTTTAGGAGTAACCTGGGATCTTTTTAAGCTCGTTATAGGAAGACGCGCTATATGAGTAATCTATCCTAGTAGACATTATACTAGGAAGCTCCTGAGTCAACCTCTAATCTATAAGCCAGTCAGCGGGATAGATGAATATGAACTTCTCTAAGAGAACAGTTCAACGGGTTTAATTGAATTCCGTTATCTGATCAGATTAGATATTCTCTAAGACTGTATAAGAGAGACCTAACTAACTGGATTGCTAGCAGTGATCATACCCGATGATGTGAACCCGATTGAATCAGCTCTTGTGATCATATCCCATGCTATCAATGGGAGTGAAGTCCGCCTATCCATCAACATAAAAGTGAAAGGAGCCCGCTAACTACTGCACTTCCTAATGTGATATTGAGTTTTGCCTAAACTTGCCCGCCCATACTCTTAACTTTTCGCTGAAGCTCTCAGACTAGAGCTATTCTCACTAAACCTAAAATTCTAATATACCCCTCTCTCCTCTCTCCTCAATGGCTAAATACCAAAGCTAACCTTAAATGGGTTAAAGACCGAGCCAGAACAGGAGCTTAGCCTCAATCTTAGATAGGAGATTCCCCATAACAACTCAACTACGTCGAGCCTTGCCTTGAACAAGCCAATCAACCTCAATCCTAGGAAATGATTTCAGGTGAAGCTCACCCCTCTTGTTCTCATCTTAAGGGAAGGCCCAGGCGCAGAAGGAAGACTCTTTGATCGGGTAGTTCCTGTTCTCAGTCATCTTAGGTGCGGTTGGCCAATTAATTACTTAAATTTATAGCGCGAGCCCCACTCATACAAGTAGGGGAAAACTCTAGTTCAACTGTTTTTTTATTCAGATTCATAATTGGCCGGGGCCTTAACCGTAGCTTTAGGGCAAAAAGCCTATCTATGGCCTTTTGGCTGGGGGTAGCTATGGCAAGGGTAGTTTACTCGGAAAAAGGAGGGGAAGCCCCGACTTTCCAATAAGGCCCGGGGGAATGAAAACACTCAACCGATGGGGGGAGGAATGAACAGCAGCTCTAGGGGATAAATGTGGATATCCAGTGGCAACTGAGCAGGAGCAGCTCTACCCGCACATAGCTAAATATCCCCCTTCCACGCCACCCAGTTGGTGAGCTCCGCCCTTAAGGGAGCCCATCCGTCGGTCGGCCAATATTGGATAGTCAACTAGCGCACAGGGTAACTCGAATATCAAATATAAGAATAGCAGCCCCGGTCTCAAAAACAAGCATGGAAACAGCAGTCAATCAGAAAGATAAGTTGAAGTTAGCTTTCAGCTGTTCAACCACTAAAGACTAAAGTGGGTGAAGCATAGTTTCGTCCGTCCCTCTCGCTTTCAGCGCGGGATAGAGTTATCAGTACGTGCGACACCAACTCTTTCGTTTTCACTTATTTTTTATACATATATAGATCTATTCCTACCATATTTCGTTACTTTATCCCGAAAAAGGGGAGCTGCTGGGCTCCTTCCTGTTTTATTAGCATCAAACCCACTCAACAGGATATTCCATAAGCACTCCGGAAGGTATAGTGTGAAGGAAAGTAGGTCCCTTACATGAGAGTTTGCGAACACGGAGGGGCTTATGCTCCTGCTGCTCATATGGAATAGGTTGGCCCCCAAAAAGCCCCAAGGGAACGAGCGAAAGGGCTGCTTGCCGGAACAGCAGATCGAGCAGCCTATTATTTATTACATTTCTGCCCCAACTATTCCAAAAAGGGTAACAAATGGGTCTAATTCTGAGACAAAAGTAATTTAACATCCCTGATTCGGAAACTGCTGCAGTGGGAACTCTACTTGCCATTCCTCCTTCCGAAATGAAAGTTTTCATTCTCCCCTTGGCCCAGTTGAAAAGCCTAACCCCAGGTGAAGTACCAGATTATGAAGTTAAAGTAAGGAATTGCCCTGTCTGATTCGTAAAGCTTTCGGAGAAGGAGGGGAGATCCGCGAAGGTAGAATTCTGAATACGGGTACGAAGGGTCATCCAGAAGCGCTGGAAGGGGGGCTGGAGGAAGGGGACGAACCGCATCGATTGAGTTATATCCGGCAGGCTAACACCCACGTACCTAGAAAGGAAGGGTAAAGTCTTACCTTTTGGAAACATAAGGCGCATCAGAAAGGAATCCGGATATATTTAGATAGCCAGATTCACGAGCTGAGGACTAACTAAGTCGAAGTGAAAGTCTGTGCCATTGTTAGTGCCAAGACCTTAGAATAGTGAACACCAAGTGAAGAGCCACCCTCCGGGAACGTCGAGAAGGGGGACGAACAGCTTTGATTGGATCCGATCTGGTAGACAGAGACGAAGACAAGGATGAATAATCTGAAGAAGGCTATGCCGAATCCGAGGGAAGAAGAAGAAGCAGAACTCGCCAAGAGTCTGAGATCAGATTGAACAATTGTCAGATTTTCATCATATCAAATGCTCTTTCAGTCTGTAGAAACTTGGGAGGGGTCACAATAGAATCAAGTATTCTCACACTTAATCGCTTTGCCAACGGTATGACCCGTGACAAAGTGAATAAAAGAAGGATAGATATAACTGAACTAATGTGTCCGCCTTATCATCCTTCCTCATTATCACCTTACGGTGAAATGAAGGAATGATCCTAGGTAGACCATTCCGACTGAGGGAGACGAAAACTGGTAGTCTCTCATGCTCGTAAGGCGGCCCGGCGTAAACCTGTTGAAGGAAAACGCCACACTGCTTTAAATAAAGTGCAGTAGATAAAGGACCGGACTTACGGTATAATTGACGTACCTGTTTCGCAAACAAGTGCGCAGCTATACAGTTATCCTTTGAAAGGCCATCAGTGACCTTTCAGAAAGATTCCGGGTTCATTCCACTGAAACTAGCTGGCAATATCTTATAAGTGCTATTCCCTCTCAGCTTCAAAAGGGCTTCCCCGAGGAGAGTACGGGGCATCTCTATGGTTCCAATATGGTATCGCAGAGTTCGTCGATCTTCTTCTGACTAGTGCCGTGGTGTCAAACATAAATATAATACAATATCGGGAATCTCTTTGACCTTCAACGTGTCTAGGGTAGGGACCTATCTTCTTCGTAGTGGGCCCTTATCTCTCTTAGTATGAGCCCCGGAACTGCTTGTTATACATACCGCCAGCTGTCTTTCCCGGCGCTTCTGCTTTCTGCCATAGAGGTGTGAGGTTAAGAATGATCGAAATAAGACACGATAGAAGGTGGGTGACTAAATGGGAGCATTTCCTTTCTTGCCCGGTAAGCTCCTATCGTGGTTTTCGATTGTCGATTGCTTTTGTACTTTGACCCTTGGCTAGTTCACTGAGCTATATCGGGGACTTAGCGTTCGACTGTTGCCAACTCGGGGGTTGAACCCGAGAACTTATGTTCTGAGTGAGAGGTGGAAAACATTAAAAAATCCATAGGCCAACGAGCGAAGGAAATAGCTCAGGAAAGGGGATTAACCCCAGGACGCTGTGAGGCGGTGGAAGATGCGGCAAACTACATTGCCGAAGATGTGGAAGATCTAGCAGAAAATCAACAAGTAAGCTTCCTAGTCAACTTAATGCGAGACCTTAATAATCCCAACAGCGAGTCGTGGGAGCGCATCGAAGAGGAGGTGAAAAGATGGCGCTCATGGGAGGATTAGGGTCGACCAACAAACAGGGAAGGACCACGTACCTGGTTCGGCAAAGAAATAAAGTATCACACATCCTCTTGTTCCCAAGAGTCCCATGTTATTCTCTCATGCTTCTGATGGATCTAGCAAAGACGGATCCACCTCTTATAGGGATCTGGTCACTCATTCGGATTGAGATTCATCCAAGTCTACCATAACGGCTGCTAAATCCCTCCCTATTTAACTTTGGCTCTCTAGTTCTGTCATGGAAGGGGGCAAGGTGCTGACCGATGTCGATTAGGAAGCTGCTCCCGTTGTAAAGAAGTGAGGCAGCGAAGAAGAAGCATTTTAGCATTCACCTGTCTGTCCTTCTTTATGGAATGCTCAAGCCTAGTGAGAACTCAAGTCGATTCGAATGACTGGATCCGCTGGAACTAAGGCTATTTCCAATGCCCGAAAGGAAGGTGCTTAAGCTGAAAGAGTGGTCAGTGAGGCTCAATTCTTTGTATTGATTCCAAGACCCAGGGCATAAGGAATTCACTAAGTATAATAATATTATCCTTTTGATTCAATAGAAGGGGATGCCCCCAATGTGGTAATAGCCGGTAGAGACCTACGTTATTCACAATAGGTGAACTTGCTAGAATGCTGTTTAATAAACTTCTTTATATAGGTAACTGGAAAGCTCTATCCCCTCAGCTGGCTTAAAAAGCTATTTATCCTTATTCAACTCGGTAAATTGAAAGAAGTCCCAACCACGAGGCTTTGCCGCGAGAGTTTCGACATTAGTGATTTGCTCTGAATCAGGCCCCTAAACCAAGGCAAATAGCCCATAATACATATGAATCCGACAGATCGGACCGAACTGCCAATGAAATCCATTTAGCCAGTTAAGCTAAGAAGAAAGAAATAGATCAGAAATCGAGTTTGAAGGCCCGAGAGTACGGGAACGGGTCCGGTAGGGAAGGTGCGAGATGATGAATGAAAGGGTCTGCCTCAACAGATGAATCCGTGACTGCTGCGACTGAGGAAGGAATCGATGAAGTCATTGCCAGCCGTCTTGTATCCTGGCAGAAGATCCCCCAAAAAGCAAGCAGCATTTCTTTCCTCGGTAAGGCCCGGGGGATGCCTCCTACCTTCCTTCTCGCAGTCAGCTATGTAACTCAAAAAGGTTCAAGCTACTCTTTACAGCTTCTTGTGGTTGACGCTAAAAGCTCCTTGTGACAACTCTTCTTGTTCGCTCCTACGCGTATGCCGAGTTCCATCTTTGGAAAAATTTAACTCGTTGCCAGAGAGAAAACATCACAAAATTAACCGACCCCGCCCATGGTCAGTAGTCAAGATCTATTATTAAAATAGTTGTCGAGGGAAGGAAGTCGAAAATCAACAGCTCAGAAAGCTTTCCCTTGACAAACCCGCACTTTGACAGCAAAAACCGCCCGCTACTCACAGAGAACAGAGATAAGATGGATACGAGGGCTCGCTCGCGCTTAGATTTTTTAACATGTATGCGGGCCCCTTTAACTTGACTATTTAGGTTAATTAGGCCCACTACGAACGAAAGACCAATGACACACAGGGACTTTATTAATAGAGAAAGAACCGAACCGGGGCGATAACGACCCAGGAAATGGTGAAGTACGTGAATCGACTCCCTCTTCGAGTAATTTAACATAAAAGAAATAAGAAGGGACTGACTTCTTTCTTGACAAGGATCCTGAAAAAATAGCACATGCTCCAAGGACTTCACGGAATTAGGAGGCACACTGGTAGGTATACCAAGATAAATGCGGGTAAGCGACGAGGGAAATAACCCCTCCATAAAAGCATGCATTTCCAGACAATAATATTTTTTATGGAGGAATTGTCCACATGATGAACCAAATGGAGCGGGCAGAGTTAAGTTACCATTTTAGGAGCAGATGTCCCGGCTGGTAAGGGAAATGAATGAAAGAAGCTTCTCCAATAGGAGGCATGTGTTGAGCATTTGTTTCATTCCTTTGGCAGCTGAAGTTCCAGTTCCATTTCTAGTTCAGGTTATGGTTCGAGTGGAGAAGCTGAGAGGGCATACCTTCCCTAAGTTGGTTAGATCGCCCGAACGAAGGAAGCTGTCTTGTCTCGCAATGGCAGAAGAAAGATATATCATTGCCAATCGGGAGGAAAGGAAGAGTCATTTACCTCCTTCTCCCTATCGATGTTTGACCCGATTTTGCTCCCCCTCCCCGGGCCTTAGCAGCCCACCCCATAAACCGCTTCCCTCGACTGCCTTAAGAGAAGAGAAGAGGAGGGGATTTCGAAGAATGGAATGAAAATTCCTAAAGGTAGTTTACTTGCTTACTTGTTAGAGTCAGGAATCTTTGTAAATTTTTTCCGCAGGGAAATGGCTCCAAAGGACCTGTGCCTCTATCCTGACGAGGTTATCGTCACCGATGGTAGTCGCGAGTTCGCGGAGTACACAACCTTAAGGTAAGGTCGTGGGTCCGACAATGGCTTAACTGCGTCAAGTGGTACTACATGGTTGCAGTATCTCCAGGCGTAACCATCCAGGATCTCTTAGACGCACCATTCGTGAACCGGAAATGGCAGGTTGAATCGACCGACTCTCAGTTGGTCCGGTTCGGCCTTGTCTGGAAGGGTTTTTATTTTGTTGCCCTAAGGCGTTTGGCCTGTTAAGCCAATGTCCTAGTCGCTGCAGCGATTACGGATACCTCTAAGGCATCTCTACTCTGCGAGTCCCGCAGCTTTCTTTATGTTTTGTGAGTTGACTCCTTATGCTAGAGCCAACCTGGCCTACCGGTCTTGTAAACCGATAGTTCCTTTAGGTTTTACACCTGAGGGTGCCCTCCTTTGGGGTCCATACATAAAGGACCTCATCAGGGTGTTGATAAAACTAGCTAAACCGGTTTCAGTGAGGTCAATCAAATGGAGAGGTACGAAGAGGACTTTTCGGTCCTCTCCTTACTGTCGAGTTACTACGTTCCTTGCCTTTTGAACTTAATTCATGGTACCGAAAGGTAACAGAAGGAAGTAAAAGACCCTCATTATTAGGTGTACTGTGGTACCCAAGAGTTAGGTATTGTTTCGACGAAAACAACGAGTTGTTTAGTCGAATGGATATGGCCTCATTTGAAAAGGAGGTCATTCCCAACGATCCTACTCCTGTCAGAGTCCTTACCTCGGACGACTGGGTCAGTCGGTTGAAGGAGCGGGGAAGAGACGAATATTTGCCATAGGAAACTGGCTGAATCAGAGGTTATTAAACTTTGTTCATAGATGGCTGATGGATGTTATCCGTCAGATTACTATGGGTGGCATGCATGGATGTCTTTTCTGCCTTAGCCATTCTCCCTACGTAGCAACTTTAAGTAGATGATAGATGGGATGAGATGCTAGCCTTAGCGCAGAAGATTCATCATGGAGCCTTAGGTTAGGCTACTACTAAAGATAGGATGGATTGTCAGGAATGGTAGATGGAGCAAGGAAAAGCATCCAACCAATCCTGTTAGGCTATTTTGGAAAGCCAGCGGCAAGGAAGGAAAGGAAGCGAAGTAAGCATCCAATCCTGATCTTTTCACTTTCGAGATCGAAGAATCATAGCTATCAGTGCATTAGCAAAGCAGACCCAGAAAGGGAGAGTTCTTCTTTTGCAAGAATGGGCATTACCGCAGCTTTGACTCTGTTGCAGGTATGAAGTGCCATGAAAAATGGAAATGGCTATCAGTTCTGACTCTCCTGACCCGAGGTAAGTAGTTCGGCTAAGCCGGAAGAAATAAATGTGAGAGTTTAGCCTATTAATTCACTTGACTTTAGGGAAGCCGGTTAAATGCTTTGCTTTGTGAGGGAAAAGCGGGCACAGCTCACGCACAGCACAAGAGGCAAGGAACTTTCAACAGGCATGGACGGCCTCCTTTTGAGGGTGAATGTCGGAAATCGTCTTCCCTTTGATGGACATTAAAAAGGATCCGCTAGGCTGTCTTACATGTCCCCAAAAGCTAAAGGGCTCCTTTCCTTCTTGATATCGCTGATGCGCCTTTAAGAGTTCTCGTTCTACTTCCTGTTAGCTGGTAGAGTATGAACTACGACCGATGGGATTGGTACAACCACGAATCTTTTGTTTGCTTTGTTTACAGCCGGCCTTACTTAAATAGGAGTTTATGCTTCTAGCTAGCTTGCTTTGGGCATCGGGAAAGAAAAAATAAGGCAATTTAGTTCTCATCCGCCCTTGCCTGCGAGCCTAGGAGCAGCTTCACCTTGCGTCTGCTAACCGCTGCTAAAAAGCCAGTGACCGGTAATCCGATGCTACCACCAGACTAGCCGGTATACTAGAGAATTAAGTTCACTGAACCCGCTGCCAAAGAAAAGTAAGCCTAAACCTCTCAACCCCCCGAGTCCGGGGCAAAGGTTACGTTCCCTAGGTTCCCCTCGTTCCCCCTGACTTCATGTTTTTCTGTCTTCTTTTGTGGATTCCAACTGAATTGTCATCTTTCCCGCCTTCTGCGCGGTTTCTTGGCTCAAGATATTATGATTCCCCTAGTAGTCTGACTGCTCTTTCTCTCAAGCGAAGTGCTTCTCGGGACAAAGGGAAGAAGGGAAGGTAGCTCGTGATTATCTTCTCAAACTAGCTCCTGAGACCATAGAAGGGAGTCTTTGGTTGTGAACGTGATCGGGACCAGGCTAGTTGGCTCAGCAACATAGTTGTTTGGTAACAGGCAAGCACAAGGTAGTGGGGGGGATTAGAAAGCTCCTCTTATCTTTGAGATCATACGGGCGGACACTTGGTGCTGGTATAAAAAGGGCATATTCGAGTGCCCCGCTGCCAGCATCGCTCTTCTCTTCGAACAGAAGCAACTCTGTAGGGAGGAGAGCCTGCCGATCGAGCAAAGGGATCCATACGGCTTTCAGGGGGAGCTGCTTTTACAGCCTACTGGTATTTAAGTAACGGACGTGTTGAATTAATTTTCATGATGATTCATTCAATTCGTTCGCCGGGAAGTGCAAGCTTTGCGAACCAAAAAAGCCTGCCGATGAAACCCGTTCCCTCGTGCTTCCATTAATGACAGATACATCAGTAGAGGTCAGCCAAGCATGATCAAGGCAGGTGAGCCCTTCCCGCTAACCAAAGGCAGAAATTGAGAGATACTTGGACCCGAAAGGACTGGACCCGTGGAAACAAAGTGATAATTCCCGCTCCGACCCGGGTAGACAACACCTGAGTTAACACTACGCAACCGAACTTAGAATGGGCCAGAACACCCCTATTGGGCGACAAAGTGGACCTTTACCCGAAGCGTAAAGCTGATTCTATGACGCTTCCAAGCCCACAAAGGCGAACGAAATAACATATATAGATAGATATAGCTACTGAAGCAACTGTACAAAAACTTGTCCGGTGATCCGACGGTGCCGAGTAGAAGGGCTCTCGCCCAACGGAAATTCTTTAGGTGTTCCGTGAGAGGGGCCCTGGATGGAATTGGGTTCGAGTCCCATAGCCCCAATGTGTCGAAATATCATGATTGGGTCGACCAGACCAGGCCCGGATCTTTTTTCTTTTTTTCCGGTATGCCGCTCCGCGAGAATGGAGCGAAAGAACCAAGTGGTTTGTGGTAATGTCAGAATTTGCACCTATTTGTATCTATTTAGTGATCAGTCTGCTAGTTTCTTTGATCTTACTCGGTCTTCCTCGACTGTTCCACCTTTTCTATTCATTCCTAATAATTATTCCTTTACTTGGTGTGTTCTATTCTCTTTGTATGAAACTCGGCTCGATAGATTTATTTAATTATCTACTATTTAAAATAGGGTTATCTCTTGGTAGTCGAGTCCTATCCTATGCTTTCTTCAAATTAGGCCTCGCGGGGGGGCTTGCCTGGGTTTTGTTAAACGTTTTGCGGGCACTATTCAGTGCCGATGGGGGGGTCTCCATCGGGAATGGCATGATGCCTCACGGAGCTGCCGAATCCACCAATTCGGATTTGTTTACTTATACAAGCGATTTGGTGGAGGATTCGGGCAGTTCCGGGCGTAGTAGAAGTACCTCAACGGTCAATCAACCGCTTCCGGGGGAACAAGCTATGCCTCCCGCTCTTCCTGTTATGCAGGAAGCTGCTAATCAAGCAGCCCCTGTCCCCTATCCCTACCCCCACGATGAAATTATAGGGGGGATAGTGTGGAATCCATCCAACGAAGGCTTTTGGGGGGATCCCCCTCTCCTTCTGCCCATTTAATTCAAATGGCCCGGATTCAAGCCGAAGACCTATTCGAGGTCAAGGTCGATATCTGTCAGGTCATGGCGGGCCTTCACCCAGGTGGAGATTGGATGGGACGGGGTGCGCGCGCCCTCGACAATCCTCGTACCTTCACGGGCGAGGATTCCCTCGAAAACCTTGCTAGACTAAGGGATGGAGTTGTGAGCGGGGACGCCACAACAATCACAACTTTAAAGCAACGTATGCTTTGGCGCCGATCCGGTGGCGACACCGAATCCCACGCATAAGCCACAGCTCCTTCCCTGCTCTGCTCTTGCTCTCGTGTACAACAACCTTAACCGCACAAGCCTGGGCTGGGCCTACCTCCATCCCTCGAAAGAAAGGATTCAAATCTTCCTTCTGCTTTGAACAAGATAAGTGGACAGATGAGTTGAATAATACAGGGACAGATAAGCTAGGCGAGGTTCCCCTTTGATATCTCCCAACCTAAAGGTTTATTCAGAGGTGGGTCTTTCAACCGCCTACTCTTTCGATGAAGGGTGCACTACAAGACCATCGGTACTAAAAAGATAAAATGGGGGGGTTTCGTTGATATTGAGTCGACTATAAACTACTCATCTTGCTTGGAACCGTCGTTGTGTATGGGAAAGAGGGGTTCTACCTATGCTTGGAAAAGGGTGAATGGTCCCAAAAGGGACGGGATAAAACCCACTAGAAAGAACGGGGGGTCATCCACTCCGTCGCTGGGTAGTCAACTTTATCCGTGACTCTGAGTACAAGATTTCCGGGATCAAGAAACTAGCAAACAAATATGCTCGGCTGGACTCTTTTCTCGTATGCCCGGAAAATCAAATTGCGGTACAACTCAGCTTGCTGCAAAGCCTTTCTTTCTCGTCCAAACACTCCAGATCTGCACTTCCCTTTTCTCCATAGGGCCGAAGCTTTACTAAGAAGGGCTTTTTTTAGAGAGAGCGTAAGGGGCGATCTATATTGCTTGCCACAACTCTATTCCCGACTCTAAATCCCTAAAGGACTTTAAGAGAGGATGAACATTCCCGTTCTATAGGTGGCACTGCCCCTATTAGAGAAGGGTGAGGGCCTACTGATTCTCTGCTAGCACTGTTAATTACCTTAGACCTACGCAGCAGGAACGATATAGAGCACCTACTCTACCGGTCGTCTGCTCTCTCGAGGTCGTCCTTCTCTAGGTACAAAAAGGACATTACGGGATATCTAAAAAATTCGATGTACTTCTTAAAGTGTGGGACACATCTCATGTTTGCCGAATCGAAAAACTATCGCCTTTGCATCCTCACAGCGGCTATGATCAGATCCCAGTGTTGGTTCACTTTGGACTTTATCCTCCACAAAATATTATGATCTCCTGTTCTAAATTATGTTAAACAGCTCCTGATCGCAGCAATCATGCCTTCGAAGGTACGCTTTTTTTAGGGGGGCCTTGCCTCTTGAATGAGCTTGTTCAACAATGTGCGCTCCTTCTTCCTATTAAGTCTAAGGAAGGGCGAGTACCCCTTGAAGGACCTTTTGTAAAGGACATCTCCCAAGATCACAAATCGTCGGGCAAGTTCTCCTCCAGGCTCTCCTCTGACCACGAGTGGCGTACTCTGATATGAACCCGTCCTTGAGGTAATTGTAGAAATCATAATACCAAGGTTCCCATCGTCCTCGTAATCTTGACTGGTGATAGTTCATCATGTTCCAACTCTCGATAGTCTTCATCCAAGAAGATGAATGAGTCCCGTTCGACGGAAGGGCTCTCTGTGCTGTGGCTGGGATGTCCAATCTCTCGATGACAAGCGACTCTGTGCTTCGGTGTACTAGCATGTGTACTAGAGCGGCTGAGTATTTATTCCATAAGGGCTAGCGAGTCAGCCAAGCGATTGTAGACTCGCACCGCTCACTTAAGGTTTTATACAGAGGGGGGTTGTATTGAAGGGCCATAAGCTTTGAATCAATATGCGTTGGTTCCAATCCGGATCTCGTAGTTTGGGTCTCGAGATGATATTCAGGAGACAAAAGAGCAGAGCTGATAGAAATGCTTATTATAATGGAGATACTAATTCTTTAATAAAGACTTGTGCCCATTGTCCAAGATTCCTTTGTGGGACTGTCTTTTTCTTCTTCTTGACTTGACTCAAAAACCTTCCCATTCAGGACAGAACTCTGAGGGTATCTCTGAAGATTAAAAATACAGAAGAGCGACTGCCAATCAAGACAATATTGAAGCACGCGCCTTAGGACCGATCCCAGTTAAATATGAAAACGAATCCGCGCGCTCCAGTAAGATAAGGGTTTCCTTCATCGATCGGAACAAAACTAGCAAAAGAAAGAGGGAGCTGCGCTATACATAATACTAAGGGACCCAGGCTCTGCCCGAATGATACGATCAGCAACTTCTAGTACCCAAGCTATGTGATCAATAACTATTCTCCTAGAGGCGAATCCCTCTGGGCGCCCTAAGCAACCGAAGGGTAGAGAAGATGAAGAATAAGGGTAATCTAAGCATGCGCCACCAAAAGGAAAGAGAGGACCGATTGATACCAATAGCAAGATACACATTTTTTTTTTAGACTCCGAGGGGTGAGAATAGTTGAAGATCAGAAGATTGGCCTTAATAGATTAAGTGCAAACTTTTTTTTTTATATTATATATTATATATATGAGTAAGCCCCTTCCCTTAGGAACAGAAGGATTCGATTACATCGGCTGGCTATACGCTTTACACATCGTCTTATGTGCTACCTTCGGTCAGGGTTTCCCTTCTCTTCTGCGGCATCAGAATCAGAGGACAGATTTATCGTAACATCCGAATCAGGGGCGACTATTGGCTTTATTCAGACTGTTAGCCCTGAACTTATTCAATTAAGTGTTTGATAATTCATTCATTCATTTAACAAATAAGGGTTTGTGTCTTTTTTAAAATAAGACTTCTTCTTAAGTAGAATTAAACTTTTTTCGTATTCTAACACATAAAGAAAAGATATCTCCTCAGAAGACGATTACGCGCATCTAGGAATTAATAGAAAGCACAGAAGCAGGAAAGCTAGCCACCGTGGAGTAGCATGAAATGCGCACCGAATCGTCTCTTTGCAGCAAATCGTCTGTTATTGAATTGACTGCTTGATAGAATAGGCGGTTCTCTTTCTGTTAGCAAGAATCCGCTGTTAGAGAATACACTTGAACTAATAGACAGATGGGATTGATTGATTCTAAATCCGCCGAAAGTCTTTTAGTCAACAAGTACGGATTTCTAGACTGGCATCTTATCTTAGAATAAAGGTTTAAGAATCCAGATCAAGAATAGAAGTAGAAGCATGCTAGCATAGAAAGAAGTCCCGAGTGAAAACGACTTTCCGTAGGATGAGCTTTTAGGGCAAAGTCTAAGGAGCTTATTCGTCGATAACAAGCCTTTATTCAAAAAAGGAATAGAACCGGAAAGCTTTGAAGGCTAAGGTCGTAGAGACAGATCCATATGCATATGTTTATAGGAGTGAGACCAAAAAATTTGATGGTATTACAGGAAGCTCGGCCATACGGGTTGAAAAATCTTCATTCGTACCATACCAAAAAGACCGCTGGTAGATTTTGGTAAGTAAATCAGAATCTAGTGCACATCCTTGCACCTCTCCATATGTATGTGCTTTAGCCCTGATGCCATTACAAGCCGGGATTAGACAGTCCAGACAGACAATACAATCTGTGACGAAATCATACGGCTATGCCAGGGCGAGCAGTGCTGCTGCTCGGCAGTCACCCGCTTGGATCCTGCCTTGTTAGTCATCCGTAGAGCTCAAGAAAATTTTCTTTAGCCTTAAGTCATTCCCACACACCGACCAGGTTAGGGTGGCTATTCAGTAACTCCTAGCCCTACTAGAAAGATAAGATAAATTTCTTGCGCGCTTCGTCAAGTGAGAGAGCCACTTAATTAGCAATAATGAGAGAGTGCTTTTATCTCATATGAGAAAGCGACGGGATAGGGTTAGTTTGAAAGGGCTACAGCAGGGGAATGATTTTAAGTCCTAAGAATAAGATCTTCTCGGACAATTTAGTTTGAAAACCTTGCCTTGCCTTTAGTTGAACTTCCCGAGTGGGAGATCAGTTGCAGGAGTTCATTCAGGGGATGAGGAAGGTGACCATGCAACTTACGTGGGTCAGAAGCAGAGGGTTCTCAACTAACTAGTCGCTTCCCGGGAAGAGCCTTTGGTTCAGTCCGTTCCGCAGTTCTAGTTTCAATCTTGTTGTAACTGACTCCCATCCCCACTATAGCTATGGATTCCCGCCTAAGCGGTGGGTGACCACTTCTTAAGTATTATTGCTTGTTTAGTGTCGTTTTCTTGCTTGCTTTCTCTTGCTGTAAAACGTCTAGAATCATTCAAGTGGTGGATATGCCAATTGTAGCTAGCCTGAAGTGAAGGAAGTTTTTCTGGTACCGCTAGCTCCCTTTCACGAGAAGAGAGGCACACTTTAGACTTGACTTTCAAATAAGCTAAAATCGTAGCCTCTGGCACACCCACATCGGATAGGACCACTTCCCCTTCCCCCCAGCCCAAGTTCACCCTCCTATGCTATGATACTTGGACTAGGGGCCTCCTCCCCTTGTGCTTTTATACACATGGAAGTACCTTTAATTATCAATTCGCCTTAACATAGTAAAATTTCTTTGGGTTTGGTGACTACTATTTTAGTCCCTCTCGTCCCAAACTTCCCCTTTTTCCACAGAAGCCCTCCCCCCACTTTATTGTTCTGCATGCTTCATGAGTGGGAAGAAAGCGGAATCTTTCTTATCCAATACCAATCCGGGAATACTAGGCTAAGCATGTAGCCTAGCCGCTTCACTCGTCAAAAACAGGCTTATAAGAATGGTACTAACTAAGAATGCTATTGGATGAGGAGATTTGTACTCAGGAAGACCTGGTAAAACTGAACTACTTTCGGCGGTTCCTTCTATTATCTCCTTCACGCTACCCAATCCGAACTCATGAGTGCCTGTAGCAGCATTGAGTGATCCCCTTCTCCGACATCGATACCCTAGGGATTACAAATCGTGCCAACTTCCCTCTGCTGCGTCGCTCTACAACTGGATACTGCATCTTTCTTTGCACTAGTCGAATTTATTGGAACCCTAAGAAGGAATCTACTGTCTCTCGCTTGACTTTATCGGTAAAGCATTTCTTGCTAGATCGAATTGAGGGTGACTTCTTCCCTTCCGCTGACTAAGGCGCTTCGCTTGTGCGTTTTCAACATCCATAGCTTCTGACTATGTCGGTGAAAAAGGTCCCTATTTTCTATTTCAAAGAACTACTTATGATCTGAGACTCTCTATCTATTGTCTTACTTTCGGCATCTTTATTTACGAGGAATTGCTAAGTAGGCGTACTGGTTGTCTCTTCTTGAAATGCTTTCCCTTGGCATCGGTGCCAGCTAGGACTGGTAGCATGTTCTTTTCTTAGGCTTTCTCTTGGTGTCAACATAGGAATGGGAGCTGTTTGAATGGATGCCTTTTTCCCCTGATCTTATAATACGAAACGCAATCGATTGAGAAGCCAGAATCTTTACTAATCGGCCGGGTGAAGGCAAGAAAATAGTTTCATTTGCGCACCACGGGAAAGCTTGAAGATCAGAGAAGCACCCTTTGGAATAGCAAACACTTTACTCTGGCCACGGGGAAGACATTTCTTCAATTAACATTCTGGTGACCAAGCTTTAATATTAATAGAAAAGAACGCAATGGATATTTTGAATTGAAGAAATTCCATCCATCTTCGATTCCCTTCTCCATGTGTAAAATGAATCAACAATTCTCATTGCTTCACTCGCAGGCGCATCCACGGGACACCCATACCACAGCTTCGGATTCATTGAGTAGGAGTCAAAAGCAGCACGGGAGCTATTAGCCTTAGGTTCGGAAATAAAAGTATTTATTCATATTAAACGGTAGCTTACGCTAATATGAGAAAAGGTTAGGGAATGACTAAAGAAGAACTACATTCATAGGTAAACCCCCTCTTTCTATTCGTTTATTCTTTTTTGTTGATTAGGTTCTGCCCTTTTCGTGCTGGCTAAGATTGATAATACGACTCAAACTCCTAAGCCACCATACCTGATTGCTTTGATCGAAGCTTAAACAGGGCCTGTGCTATCAGAGTGCTTTACTTTTTTTCGAGCGGTTTATCTTGTTTCGGTTGCCGATTGCTTTATTCTATGCGTAGATTGGTTGGACCCCGCTTTGACCCAGTCGTGAGACGAGCCGCAGGAAACAACTAGGTGTCAGCGGAAAGTAAGTCCTTGAAAGTTGGCAGATCGGCATGGGCGGTTAAACTAAAACTATTAGCTCCTCCGGTCACTCTTACAAAGCCTTATCCTTCATGTCTATCTTCCATGACAAGATGAATCTATTGCCTCCTCGCCTCACTTCCACTATAAGTTATTCTGTATGGGACAAACGCCAGTCACGCTCGTCATTGTCCACCGCACCACTAGTCACCCGACTCCGAATCCCATTTTAGAGATCGTTCCTTCCTCTCTCTGCAATCAAACTAAATCCCTAACGCTATAAAGCCTATAGCCTGCCTTAGTCTCGCGCATACGTTTTCTTGCTGGGTGAGGGCTTTAAGACCCTATTCACATAGCGTTCCTGACTTATAACATTTGAATTTATAAAAAAAAATTTAATTTGAAACGGGTATGGCTTTAACTTCATTCATTTTGACAAGGATAAAATCAATGGGAATAGGTGATTCATGTTCAAGAGAGCTGCTTTGTAGGGAAATATTTAAATTATATATGGAATCCCATAATTTCCATTGAGCGGGTATATGAAATAAAAAAAGAAGACTAAAATTTAGAAAAGGTTTTCCAATAAACTCCCCAGACTATAGTAAAATGGAGGGAGATGAAGCTCAAGAACAAGCACTCAAACGAGGGATCCATGTAAAGCAGACCGGCAGCCAGAGATTCCAATAGGCAAGAACGGTCCACACCAGTATGGGCGCACGGGAGTACTCTCCCCTCAAAGTACGCCACCGGTTAGGTTTAACGTAAGATGGCTTTGTGTTGTGCGAGAGTGGCAAGAATCGGGTCAGATTTCGCCGGGACGCAGCTCGATTGCCTTTCGTGCAGAGGAACCTTCGACTAGGGTTCGTACGATGCCCAAAACCTTACAGTCCACAAGAGCTATTTCGAACAGCACTCTACGAGAATTGTTGGAGAATTGGATGTAACTCTATAAACTCCTATATTATCTCCTATCGCAGAATACCTAGTTTGAACTCCTACTCGAAATCGAAAGAAGGGAAGGTTAGTGGCACTTCTTTTTCACGCTTGAACTACGGGACAGACTAGCGGAAAAAAAGTTACATCCATACGGGAATAACCCCTGTAAGTCAACCCAGTTGTCTTAGGCTCAAATCCGCACTTTCGGGAATAGAATGCTTCTTTGACAGAGCTTTAAGCAATTGGACAAAAAGGTTCTGCACGTGAATCAGACTGGCTTTATCTCAGGATGTGGGATTACCGATGTCACGATTGGAATTAGGAAAGGAAGCCTCTGTCCCAACTTTCTTTCCAGACTTGTAAAAAAGGAAATTCCCACGGCTTCCGCGGAGAGACTCGGCTTGTGAGCTCCTTCTCCAATGGAACCTACTGTGTATACTCTTGCTTCACTGGAAGACTCGCTCGCTCTGTTGGTGTAGGTCTTACCTTTCTTGATCCCTTGGTTAGGCTAGCTAATTCAATTGATCTGATACCAAGATAACCCTTCAGATACCGTCCGATGTGCTTGATCTCTAGTCTGATCTTCCATCACTTGACAATGGGGATGGGGGCTAAGTCAGCCCCCGAGGAGATCATCACGCTACGTAAAGGGCTGTGAAAAGGAATCCCGCCTCTTCTTTCTGCCTTTCCCTTTCCTTTATGATTCTCTTTGTTTATTCTAACTTTTTACTTTTTGGCCTAGAATGTACGGTATCTGACTAGCATTTGCTGCAGCTGGTTTCCGTATTTGCGCTAAAGGTACTTGACCCCTCTTCATTCTTAGCTTCCATTCCAAAAACTGCACTCTTTCGGTCACCTTCCACAATGGGCTTTCAGTCCGCTATCTCCGCATTGCTTCTGTAAACTCCGGTATAGTTCCCCTCCCCTTTAGTTCCATCAGTGGGTTCCTCCATTCTCTTATCGGTATTATTAGAATGTGTTGACTAGTTTCGCCTTCACCACACTCTTTAATACGTGGGAATCTCCTCATCATCTGACTCCCCTTTTGGTACCATTATCTTTTGTGGGGGGATCACTTTATGGTTATAGCGCCGTGCGATGGGGTGGGAGTGGACGGACCACCGTCCCCGCCTACAGTAGGCAACAATGCCCCAGCACCTGTCATTGATGCTCCTGAAGTTCCCCCCGCGGCCCCAGAGATTCCCGTATTAACCCACCCCTTATTACCAGATAGCGAACGATAAAGCGAACTATATAGGCGCTTCTTGGTTAATACTATAGGGGAAGAGCCCAGCCTACGGAGGATTTCTGACACAATTCGTGTTCAGAGTCTGATCGAAAGACGGGAGAAGCTGCTAACAAGAGGTTAGCTGCACTTATCAATAGCAGTGGAGTCTCCCTTTGAAAGCGCTAATTCAATAGCAGTCTTCCGACTGAATAAATCTGAGTGTAGTGTGGTTAAGCGGTCAGAAGTTGTTCCGGATCCATTGCTACCATTAAAAGAATGGGGAGGAGAACTTTAATCTAGCTAGGGTACCGGGCAATAACAGTGAGAGGAAAGCGCTACGAGGACCCTCTTTAAGAGAGATAGAAAGCTAACCCTTAGATTCGGGAATAGGAAACTAGCAGTAAGGGTATTACGCTTCAAGAGAAGTGGAACTCACTCGAATAGAGAGAGTCTAGGCTCACTCACTGGTCAAGGGCTAGTATAGCAAAGAGGCTTTCAATTCCCGCAAAGCAAGTGGGAATTTCCGTGAGCATTAAACTCTTGTATGGTCTTTACCGCTTGGGAACCTAAAAGCTGCTCTATGGCTCGCTGGAGTTAAATCAAGCTATTGATCATATTAAGCCTTCTTCGGCTGATGAAAGTACTAACTTCCCTTGAGACTGAGATTTAAGTTTTCAGTTCAATTGTCATATATTCTTCCCCTGAATTGAAAGGCATTCTGTATCTTTATGAAGTTAACTAAATCGATTAGGTCATACTACTGGTCGGGTACTTAAACTTAAGATAAGAATCGGCTCTGTCGCTTCTAGCTTGCCTACCCGCAAACCCTGCCCTTAGGACTAGGTTGGAAACTCCCAAGAGGATGGGGCTTGCTCACTCGCTTTCAAGACGGAAGAATGAAAGTTTTTTCCTCCGGTGATATTTTAGCTCTACTGCATCCGGGACTTTATTTCATTAGAGAGCTAGCGGCTCCTGTGGAGGTTGGTAGTTCCCCATCTATCAGCCATAGATCTGGCTGTTTTCCTCCCGCACCCTTATCGGGATTAAGGAAAGCCGGTTTCCATCCTTTGTCAGGACCCGAAAACCTAGTTACCAACCTCTCTTGCATTTTACTTTTTTGGAGTCGTTTTCTATACTATATTTTTTTCAATGTTATAAATCATTAGCATCAGCTATGAGTGCATCTGCTAGGTTCCCATTCCTGCTCAACAACTTGAGAGATTAAGTTCATCTGCGGACCAGTAACAGCCCCTACCTGTTAGCAACTATGGAGCTAATGAACCTTTTCCTTTCTTTCTTATCTTTCTATCCCTGCTTGTATCCTATCCTTAGAGCTCCCCTTTGCGTTGATTATAGGCCTTTTCTTTGCCCTTTGGGAGAGGTAAGGTATAGAGCTTGAATCCCCCAGCTGACATCTTATTCTCCATTGGGCATCCATCCTCATGGCATCTACTTCTTTAAATAAAAGAGAAAAAGCTTTTGCCGCTCTTTCCTTGGCTTTCTTTTGCGTACGTGTGCTCGTCTATCCTTTAATAGAAAGAAGCAATTTATCTGTTCGAAATCAAGCTACAGGCCATCAAAGATGGCGGTAGAACAACTAGCAAGAGGTGCCCAGGTACCGTTAACAAGCTCATGAATTTAACTTTCAAGCGAACCCCATGCCTTATGGTTTGAGAGTCCGTTTGATTATAAGCCTTTAGAATGGTTATATATACTTTAGAAAAGGGCTATCTCTCTCTAGCTTTCCTTTCTTGCTTGCTTGCTTTCTAGCCCCGATGCCAATGCCCTTTCTGTTCTCGAGTCTTTGCAATCTTCTGCCATTCCTCGACTTTGAAATGGTTAGACCACTGTCTTCGAGTCCGGTTGAGAAATAGCGGATTTGAGTACCGGGAAGTAAGTATGAGTAAGGTCCGGGTCTGGTTGAGTAACTCAGGATAGAGAGAGTCCTTCATTTCTAAAGTATGAATAAATAGTAGACATGTAGCTGCCTTTTAGGTATTGAATCCCTGGCCGGGAAGCGTGAACGATAACATGAGTCTTTAAGGACAGAGTGACCCCGTGGGTTGTCCATTCTTTCGAGTATTCACTAAAAAATCATTGAATTGAATAAGGCTATTCGACTTAGGACTCCCTTACTAAGCTTTCAGGAAAGTCTGAGATCTCATTGTCTTCCTAAAGCCTTTTTAATCCTAAATGAACAGATATAAGATAGATGTAGAGACTCATCCTTGATTCCTATCGGTCAGGGCCCTTGAAGAACCCTCCACGAATTATCGATAGTAGTTTACTAATCCAAGGAAGGAGTGATGCGAAGAATTGCTTTCTTTCGTACCCATTCACAAGAAAGAAGAGTCTCAAGTAGTGTGTTCATGGTCACTCAGAACATAGGATTTTCGGCATCAAAGAGCGCGTGGGACAGGTGAGGGAAGGAAGGGCGGGATGAAGCAAGCAGCCAATCCCTTGCTGGTTAAAAATAGCAGCATCAGTATTAAAATTATAAACACCATGGGGTGGGGCCTGCCAATAGGTGTTTGCACAATTTGTAGCTTCTCCTTCTTATACTATTAGAAGAAGCTGATTGCTTTGTTCACCACATCCACAGGATAGTTCTGTATGTCCTGGAACAGCAGCAAATTTATATCACTCCATAAAGCCCATGCAACTACTAGCATCAGTTCCAGCTGCTCTTCATCAAGACACTTCCCCATCTCCTTCACCCAATCTGAGAGAGAGCCTGCATCTGTTGAGTATGAAGGGCTAATGGGCAGAGTAGCCAAATGCCATATGCCCAAGGGCAGCCCTTTAAAACATGAATGGTAGATTCAGGCTCCATTCCACATCTGTCACAAAGCAGGTCAACCTCCACCTTTCTTTTCCCATTTCACTCGTCTTGCA